TGTTGTTGCAGTGATAAACAAAAACCCGATTTCACAAACAAGGGAAGTGGGTTTAAGAAAAGGGGACGTAAGAAAGGACGGAATAATATAGGGGAAATAATTCAGTAAAGAGTGGGTGATCTACCCTGAAACGTTAAACGCAATTGAGTTAAACTTTCCCACGGGAGATCCTACCTACTTAAAGTCAAACAAGATGACTTATTTAAACTTAAGTCAAATAAAACTGACTTATTCATAATTAAAACATAATTAATTATTTTTAAACGGCGTTAATGTAAAGTTTAATTTTGTTTAGTGTCTCAAATTACACAATGAGTAAAAAAAATCTCAGCCCTAGAAAAAAATGTTCTTAAATCTTGTAAGTGACTCGAAGTGAATGCAATCGCAAGAAATAAAAAACCGTTTGAAACAGCAGTTCAAAGACTTATTTTGGAGAGTAAATCGCCAGCGTTGCACGGTCGTTACAGGGACGACAAAGGTCGGTCGTCAAACTTCAAACCAGAGGCTCTGATTTATCGGGGACTTTAGTTCGATAGCACTACTTTGCCAGCCGCCTTGTTAGCTTTTTTTGTAACATAAGGTTAGATAAGTCTTGTTTTTTGCCGAGGTTTTTTTTTGTTTTTAAGGTGTGCCGTGTACATTTTTCATGCCGTTAACTTTGAAATATGAAGTCATTTTACATGCCGTTACGTTATAAGTCATTTTTATAAACTGTCGGTTAAGTCATTTTAGATAGGTTATCTAAGTAGTTTTATATTCCGTTGGCAAAGTTATTTTCTGAAATAAATGTAGGCCTAGTTAAGAATCTCTTCAAAGTAGGCCCTACAGTTATTTAAAGTGTCTGAGTTTGGATACATATTGGGATACAATTATATGCATTGTCCCGAGTTTTGATACTTAATAAAGAAAAGTTATTTAAAATGTCCGACTTTTCTGTAATATTATGGAACAGTTGTTTGAATTGTTTAAATTTGGGTTACTTAAAAAGGGATAATTATTTACATTGTCCGAATTTTTATACATATTAAAGAACAGTTATTTAACATTCTCCTAGTTTCGATACGTATTTAACTATTTAAGTTATTCTAAATGTCAGAATTTTTTAAAATCTTTTTAAAAATGTCATGGCGCCCAAGCGATTTCTCTAGTGAAAAGCTTTTAACAGACGGCTAATCTAAAATGTTATCATGGATCTAAATTAACTTTAAATTACACCTTTACTGATAGCTTAATAATAGCATTAGCACGTCGGTTGCATCCCCTCCCGTCTTTACCGTGTTTACATATTCGTGCTAAGATTTACAATGCGGTTTAACAACAGTGTTGAATAGGCCCTACATCATTGTTTACATCTATAGAAGACGATGAATGGGTTTTATTATATTTACAGGATGGGGGTATGGTCCATCAAAGTAACAATGTTTAATGATTTAGAACATGGATAAGGTGCATATATATATATATATATATATATATATATATATATATATATATAGGCCTATATATATATATATATATATATAGCGAGCGAAACAGCCTTATTTGACACGTTACTTAAACTAAATTAAACTGCGCTTGTTGGGCCGGGTGGTGTGGGCAGGTACCAAGTGGGCGGGGAGGAATGGGGAGAGAGGTGCTTTACCCTGCCATGCCGGGTACTGTACAAGCCCGTGCCGGTCCTTGACCTCACGTTATGACCCTTCTGACCAGTGCCAGATTGCCATCTTAAGGTGGCACCAATCTTATGCAGGTCAAGTCTGACAAGGGTGGGGGCGGGTAGACACTAGACAATAGGATGGACATCCATAAGATTGACACGTTACACCTCGATTGTTCACTTGTTAGCAGGCGATATAGTTGCCTTTAGGATTATTTCTTGGTTTACATTTTAATCTTAAGCAGAAACCGTGTATCACTTTGTTCTGATGGGTACCAAACTCATGTTAGGGAACGTAAAAGTGGCTGGGCATAGAGCTGACCACACTACAGAGGCGTAGCGATGGGGTGGGGGGGTGGAGGGGTACATATGTCCCGGGGGGGGGGGGGGAGGGCGCCAAAATGGGTTGTAAAAACAAATTAAAATGTCATTTTAGCTTCATTTTTGCATTATAACTAGTTTGAGGGGGATGCAAATCGAAAGAAGTTTGAGGGGGGGGGGGAAGAGGTGCAAATTAAAAATTTGCTCTCGAGAGGGGCGCCACATTAAAAGTTTGTCCCCGGGCGCCGGGAAGGGTCGCTACGCCTCTGCCACACTATCCTTTCATATGCCAATGAAACTAGTGCAAACTTGACCCATGGATCATAAAGTTCTAAAAAGGGAACTTTAATAAAACAACCACTAATATTAGATATATCAATGCTGTAATTGGCAAGTATCAAAACAGCTAAAACAAAAATACCTTATCAATAATAAGACAATTACGCTGATCCTAAAGCCAGCAATATTCGGATAGCCACGAGCTTTGGGGAACAACAGTCCCAGTGTATCTTCAGTCTATTCTATCTACCTTACAAAACCTCAATAGCCTATCAATTACATAAACCATAAGCCCAACTTTAATCTTGCTGTGTGCTACAACCTCCGTGTTTACCTAGTTGAGAGCGATGGTATTTTAATACACATTTCCCGTGCTAGCTGTGTCATAAATCCTACACGCGAATCTGTTCACACGTTGGTCGTGTAGTCGTGAAGTGTGTTCAGAGTTTGACGGTACCGAGCTTTTAAAAAGAGGTTTGAGATTTGAATCGAACATGTGTTCATTAAGTCATGGGTCAACAACTTTCGGTTCTGGACCCGCGTTTGGCTTATGGGTAAATAAAACGCGGATTTATTTATGTTTGCGACTAAGAAAGGAATCAGGAAAATGCGTATATGTTTTGATAACAACTCTGTACGTATAGTAAGTTACTAGCAGTAAAATTTTAAATGTCAAACCGACACAGTAGACAATTATAGCAGAAACTAGTATGCTATTGTTTTAAATAAATTTAACAACACACGGTGATCGAACAATATGACAAGCAGTCAATTACAACTAAGAAGAGAGGGGGTGGGGTAGGAAGGGTCGCAAGAAATGAAGTTCCAAAACAGAAAAAAATTATAGAAAAAGAGAAACGGAATCGAAATGTGCTTTACATTTATAGCACAAAGTAACCTTACATATCCTAGTACCTTCATACATGATACCGTTTTTTTAATGAATTGAATAAATAAATTGAATAGGTGGGAAAGAAACGAAATACATAATAAAATTGTCCCCACAAAATCACACATGTAACAACTATCTTATACATTATTATTACCACCTCCCCCCACCCGCTCCCAACCGCCAATAATAAGAAGCGCAGATTTATTTTCTTAACTCTTCTGTATTTCATGTAAAGTATTATTTGTTTGGTCTATAAACGATAGGGAAAGTAAAATACAAATATTTGCCTGTCAGTTTTTTATTAAATATTCTATCGTGACACATACTTTTGTCACACTGGGTCAGTGTGACTTAGCAGTGACCAGTGTCAGTGGACAGACGTCTGGTCAGCGTATGACACAGTTTTGTTGACGGAATAAGTCTGGCTTTGTTTTATAAAGGGAGACAAGCCGGGTCGTAAACATGTCACAGTGTTTTCCCTTTGTTGTTGTTTTGTTTCCCGATGTATAAATACAACAATGACGTCACGGGGAATTCCCACGATGTCATACCTTTATTTTAATTGTAAGTTACACACGGAACAATTTTTGTAATAAAACAAGAACTAAAACAAAAGATAGTGGACTAAGATATTTTTCTTTTACATGTCAAAACCACTCGCATAAAGATGGCCTCAACGAAAATGTAAACAAACAATTTTAAAACTAAGTACAGACAATAAACACACATTTTATTGGCTATATGTCTGCTTAGTACAGAATTTGGTAGATTTTTATATTATTTATGTCTGCCCCGTCCCTACCCCCATATTGATGTTGAAAACTCAATCTATGAAGTGTCAAGATAGTTTGAATAGTTTATAACAAAATAGAAAAAAAAATGTTTTCTACTTTGTTTACATAAGTAGCTGTTAAGAGGGGGGGGGGGGGCGGGGGCAGTAAAAATAAAACATTTCGTAAATGTAGGCAAATTCAATTTTTTTTTAGAAATGAGTTATTTTAGAACATTCATTGACTATAAGCTTATTTAAGCCACTTATACCCAAAGCCAAACTCTAAACTTAAAATTCCTCTGTGCGCATATTATGAGGAATTTCAACCTAATTTATACATAGAACATAATCAATTTATTAGCTTTTTTATCGTAAGATTAAACAATATTTTGACAAATTGAAATTAAAAATAAACATTTTAATTAAGTAACAAATAAAAGGGGATTTTTTTAAAGCGTAGTTATTAAATCACCAATGTGTTATACAACCGGTAGGCCTACATACGAAATTAAGAAATACATTGTTTTGTGTTGATAATGCTAAATGTGGCGTGTTTCTTTATGTTTTCACATTATTCTAATTGGACGAAATGGGTCGCTTTTTGTTGAGATGGACTCAAGAATTTTAACCATTTGAATTATATGGCTTTTTAAAAATCCCATATAAAAACATTGTAAACCCCATTACGTTTATACCTCTTAGATTAAATTTTAACTTAAAATGAATACGGTTAAAAGCAGTTTATAATATTGGGAATGACCCCTGTTGAGACCTCTGTGAATAAGAACGCTGAAGTTGAAACCCCCTGAATTTGAGACCAAGTGAAGTTGAAACTTCCTGAATTTGAGACCCCTTGAATTTGAGACCCCTGAAGTTGAAACACCCGAAACCAAAACCTCCAGGCTCGAGACCCTCGATAATGACCCCTAAAGTTATCCCCCCCCCCCTCATTAACGAAGACTAAGTTGAGACCCCCCTCCCGTCCTCCATTGAAAGAAGACACACACACACTTACCCATTGAAAGAAGACTAAGTTCAGACCCCCCCCCCCCCCCCCAAATGAACGAAGCCTCCCTTACCTGACTGAGGCAGCGATGCTGACGGCTTCATCCACTCATAGGGCGGGCGCAGCGACTTGGCGCCCTGGTTGTTGGGGCCCATCCCCGTGACGGGGGGCTCCCCCGGGGACGGGGCTTCTGGAGACGGGGAGCCGTCTAGCACCTGAGGGTTCGTGTCCGGCCCAGCAGACAGAGGTGAGGCGTAATCCAAAGGCAGGTGTGAGTTGGGGGTGCGGTAGTTGTAGTTGTAGTGGCCCTGTGTGGGTGGGTTGGGTAGGGGGAGAGAAATCACGTGATGAAATATATACATGTAAATAATGGTCACGTGACAGTATCCATTCACTAAAGACGTACTAGTGACTACAATTTGGATACCTTAGTAAATGTATTCAGCTATTCAATCATATTATAAAAATTAACTTATTATGAACTAGATCTAGTAGCGCATATTTATTAATTAAAAAAAAAAGCCAGATGCTTGGTAAAATAAACAACGAAGTATTTAAAAAAAAAAATCCAGATCTAACGAAAATCTGATCTGACACTTTGAAAAATTAAATGAAAAAAAATATTTCTTTAAACATTTCCTTGACTCCATTGTGTCACATTGACTGAAAAATTCAAAACTCCCCCTTCCCCTCTATCAAACTCCCCCCCCCCCCTGGGTGCATATGTTAATTAAATATAAAGACGTTTTAGTCAATAAAAATTAAATGAGAAAAACTAAAAATAACTGATACTTGTTTTTAAAAAAGCAATTAAAGTTACCAGTTTCGGTCTGGCGTTTAATAGGGCAGATGGGATATTTCTACATTTTTGGTAGTAAAGTTACATTTCGGACATACCGTTCCGTGTAGCAGATGATATAGAGTTCACCTTTTTCTGTGACCACTGCATGACAATTGATAGTGTGGTCAGCCGCATTTTCTTTCTTTAACTTAACTCAAGTAGGCCTACCCTTCAGTGCCGGGTGGGTTCATTGTCATACTACGGACTTTGAATCCAGGATCCGAATTCGTTACCAGTATTTTGCACTCACCATTTTCGGCGTGCTACCGGCAAGAAGGTAGTTTTGCGTGCTACTGGGTAGCATATAGTTGTTCTGCCATTCACCATTAAGACACCTACCTGTGTTGGCGTGCTACTGGCTAGCAGGTAGTTCTGCGTGCTACTGGCTAGCAGGTAGTTCTGCTGCCATTGAGACACCCACCTGTGTTGGCGTGCTACTGGCTAGCAGGTAGTTCTACTACCATTGAGACACCCACCTGTGTTGGCGTGCTACTGGCTAGCAGGTAGTTCTGCGTGCTACTGGCTAGCAGATAGTTCTGCTGCCACTCATCATTAAGACACCTACCTGTGTTGGCGTGCTACTGGCTAGCAGGTAGCTCTACTACCACTCATCATTAAGACACCTACCTGTGTTGGCGTGCTACTGGCTAGCAGGTAGTTCTGCTACCATTAAGACACCTACCTGTGTTGGCGTGCTACTGGCTAGCAGGTAGTTCTGCTACCATTAAGACACCTACCTGTGTTGGCGTGCTACTGGCTAGCAGGTAGTTCTGCTACCATTAAGACACCTACCTGTGTTGGCGTGCTACTGGCTAGCAGGTAGTTCTGCTACCATTAAGACACCTACCTGTGTTGGCGTGCTACTGGCTAGCAGGTAATTCTGCTGCCATTCATCATTGACGACCCCATGCCCGGGTCGGCTGTTGCCCACGATGCCCATGCTGTACCCCCAGGACTGTTGCTGTTGGTGCTGTTGTTGGTGGTGCAGGTGGTGCTGATGGTGTGGTGACTGTTCTGGTTGTGGCGCCTGCAACAGAAATTTTATCGTTAACTGCATTAAAAAAAAAATTGTATCCGAAATTAAATTTACAAATAAAGTTGATTTCATTAATAACTATATCAAAATTACAATTTTCAAATACTTCCTAACAACATGTAATCATTTTTAATGTCCAAAAATAAAGCCAATTTCTCAAAACTTGTTCCCGAATTTAAATTCCAAAGTAAATTTCATTACAAATAAAAATATTTGACGGTCGTATCTATCGGCATGTTATAAAGTGTAATGGTTTTTACTTTGCTGAACAAGATACGACAATCTGGAAGCCAAATCAATTAGTTAAAACAATGCTAATATTTAATGCCAAAATTGGCCACTAATTTTAGCCCTTTCATTAACAATGTTGCGCCATGATTTTATAAATATTATGAAATTATCGTGTATATATTATTATTTTAGTGGTTAGGTAACAATTGCGAAAATGTAGTTGTTAAATTTCTATATTCAACACTAAACTATTCTTTTTTTTTTAAATTATTTAAATGTGTAGGTTTACAGTGTGTAGAAATTATTTGAACTTCATGAAACAATGAGTTTTTTTTAAATGTCTCTTGCCATTAAATTTTGAAACATTGAATTAATGTAAAAAGAGTAAGTAGGTTATATAGATTTATACATTTCGTTTAAAGCATGTAAATATATCTAACAATTAGATTATTGTAAACTTAAATATACCTAAACATAAGCATGTTGTAGGTATAATATATTTAAACATCAGATTGATGTAAAATGAAATATATTTAAACATTACATTGTTTTAATATAAAATATATTAACAATTTAAGTATCAGACTGTAAAAATATAAAACAGCCGACTGTTGTTATCTAAAACTTTAAAACATCAGACTGTATTTATATAAAACATTAAAACATCAGATTTTTGTTATATAAAACATATTAAAACATCAGATAGTTGAATAAAAAACAACTTACCGCGTACGGGCTGTAGCCATCATGTGAGTATTGGCCGTGTGCAGAGTTGGGCTGGTACCCCCCACAGTGATTGTAGTAGGCGTGAGGGGGGCCCAGGCCCTGACCACCCCGGCTCCCGAACATGGAGGGCGGGGTGCTGGTGGTCTCCTGACATACACTAGACATCTCAGGCATAGCTGGCACCAAAAAAACACTCGGCTCACTGGGATTCGAACCCGCACAAAAACTAAAGATTTCCTCTACTTAGAAAAATCACTTGTATTTTTAATCCTGAAACGTTGAGAACCCGATCCAATTTAATTGTGAACACAGTTAAAGATATATCTCACACTAATTAGCACGCGAAGTTATTTATAAAAAGAAATTGTATTAATTACTTAAAATTACAAATTCACCGACTGTTCAAATTAAGCACTGAAGATAATTGTATCTTATGATTTACTACTCAATTAAATTCAATCCGATTCGGACAAATTTCCATTAAGATTTATAGACCAGGAAAACTGCAATTTGTTGCGCACCAAAATGTGGCGCGGCCTCCCATAAATGTTCCGTCCTGACTACTCGCGTTCACCGACAATAAACAAAACGCGGTTCGGTTTCTTGAACAATTATCATAAACTTCGGGGAATCGCAATGATACTTTTTTTTTTACAACCTACCCTAAATCATGGAATTCTTGATCGACAGCAACACAGCTAAACACAAACGCCAATGAACAAATGAGAGCTGAAGACTTTGAGAACTTGAATCTTGGTCAGAAATTTTTTTTAAAACACCTGTTGGTTGAAATCGTAAACTGTACTTATATCACGAATTCACAAAATTTTTAAACATGTTTTAAAAAATTGAGTTATTCCAACGAAATCGAAGATGTATTCTCCGATTAAAATTTGACGAAGTGATGTTGGTAATCTCGCGAGATTTGTGGTATACAATCCCTCGATAGTGGGTGGGAGGTACACGGCTGTTAACTGCGAGAGTTTTACAACCGGGCACTGTACAAGCTCCTATGGAACCCCCAGACAAGCCTATCAAATCTAGACGTATCTATTTAATCAATACCCCAGCAATCAATCACCGGCCAGGTAGAGTTACCGCTCTTGTTGTAACCAAATCAAGCCCCGCCCACTATTTCTATCCACCAATGGCGTGGATACACCGTTGACATTCGCCCCGCCCTTTAAACACCTCGATTCAAGATTTGTGTATCGATGGGTGTGAGGTTCAAATCCACGCGGCACCCGCGTATAGGCTGTACGAGATGGAGACGTAGAGTCTACGGGTTAGGTCATCGCAGGCAAAAGACAGCGCGAGGATTTGACAACGTGTCAGACGTCAATAAACAGCAACGGCTATTTTTAGTCCACGGTCGGGATGGCAGCTTCAAAATTTGGAAGTTTTTAAAGAAATGTAACAATCTGTGTTTATTTTGGAACCTTGAGGTCTATTTTGTTGCGACTTGTTTAAGTTATCTTTCCTGCGCTCATAGTTTTTTGGTGTTTTATTTTTGTTGTCTATTTTTGGTACGATTCTGACATGGGCGCCACCCGTCTATCGTCACGACGAAGGTTGGGGGTGGGTAGGGGGAATCAAAACGAAATCTTGGAAATGCGAAGTATTATTATTGTAAATCTGAATCAGTCTTCACAAGCCGATGATGAAAACTAAAGCTAACATGGAAGGCAAACTGATGTTGTAAATTCCATGTCTGAGGCACACCAAAAAACAACATTTTTTGAGAAAGAAAAGTATTTTTAAAAATAAGAAAAAAAATGATGTGAAACAATATTTACAATGTAAGAAATATGATATTGATATCGTATCATTATATTGTATCTCCATACAGGGGCGTAGCTAGAGGGGGGGGGGGGGTGCGGACCGCACCGGGTGACACCATTTAAGGGGGTGACACCAAGGAAAAAAATAGCAAAATATATAGAGAAAAACTTGAGGGGGGTGCAAATCGAAAGTTTGAGGGAGGGGGGTGCAAATCAAAAACTTGAGAGGGGGGGGGGGTGCAAATCGAAAGTTTGAGGGGGGGGGGGTTCAAATCGAAAACTTGAAAGTTTGTCCCCGGGAAGGGTCGCAACGCCTCTGGGGGGGGTGACACCATTAAGTGCCGCACCGGGTAACACCCGACCTCGCTACGCCACTGTCTCCATATATTGATGATGTAAATTATATACTGACAACGCAAAGCAATTCATTCGCTGAATCATCATACAACTTTCGCAGCTTGAATAGTTTATAAAAAATGTGCTTTCAAGATCATATAAATTATGCCTAGATAGGCAACATATCAACAAAACATATTCTCTTTTTGATAAATGACTTTCTGTTCAAATACAATATAGGCTATATGGGTATACTATCTGTGGGTAAGGTTTTTGTGGGCGGCTAAGTTAAAAAGATCAAGTCTATGAAATTAATTGCGGTGACGCTTTGGTTGTTTACTTTGATAGGCCTTGCTTTTATCAGCTGCCGCGTTAAGATGGAGGGTGGTGGGGGTCGGAGGTCAAGTAGTAGTAAAATGACCTGCCTGTTGAGTTGACCATGGGTAAGAAATGAACTGACCGCATTGATACCGGTCATATATAGAAAGTGCACGCTGGGAAATCGTAAAGCACATGAGTGGTTCTAATTCATTATCATTAGTTAGTCGTTAGCTTTAATAATTTATTCGTTATTCAATGAGGTTCGAGTTCAGAAAATATTGTAGAAAGAAATTAATGTTTTTAAAGGACAACAAAATATAATCTGAATTGTAACATCTTTATCGATGCGAATGATAAAGTTGCATTTCAGACCTGGCGGAACACGGGGCAGGTGAAGTAGAGTTCAACTATTTCGATGACCTCAGCATGTAAAGGGATAGTGTAGTCCGCAAAATGTTCAACCGAAATAGGTGTTTTTAAAAAAACATACATTTTGGCTTGAGGTCATTTAGATATGAGCGGGTCATCTGACTTTTTGTGACGATATGTGACAGTGGGGAGGGGGGGGGGATACAAATTATCAAACAAGCATTACGTCATTTATGAATGACACCTTGACCCACAGTTATCCAAAGAATAATGGGTGGTCTGGTTAAATACTAGGACTTGCCTGGAGAAACGTATACCACCACCATCAATTCGACCATTTACCAGGTCGTTTCTTGATTGCGAGCGTCTCAGTGTGCGGGGCAATTCACGACTCCTTCATCTAAGACCCCCCCCCCACCCCCCACTACATACATACCTGTTTTATCGCCAGTTGTTTGTGTATCTCTTTATAACACTCAGGGCTCACTGTGCCTCCACTATCCTAACACCATCCTGTAAAATATTAACCCTCACGTAGATATATACGTGATACGTATAACTAGTTGATGATGTCAAGATCTTAGAACTGAAGTCAACAGGTATGTCTTGGGAGATTGCAAAATCATAGCCGGGGATCGGACGAAACGGAAAGATTTGTTGGAGGCCCTATGGTGGAGGCCCTATGTTCTATAAGGAGCAAAGCGGACTAAGTAAAGTCAAGATCTTGCACCCGTTTAAATTGGTGTCACCCTAATTAGACGACATGCAGCTGCACTCGAAGTTTACAAAAAAAAGAATGTAATTAAAACAAAATATAATACCATGATTTGTTTAATCCTTGTTTATAACGTTTCTTATGTAATGTTCAACGGCCAACCGTGTTTGCTTCTTATGTAAAGCTATATTAGTACTCTCCTGGGTTCCACATTTATTGGAGAATCCACTAAGTGGGTGGTAATGCAAGTACCTTTTTACCTTCTCATATACAGAGTATAGAGAAACTATAGTAATTGTGCACACAATTTTAATGAAATTTTGACAGCCTGCGCCGTTTTACACCTCCCTACTTTAACTAATATGGAGTATAAAAAAATGTATTACAATTTAGCTAAAAAAATCGAAATTGTAATGTCGACAAATTTGGACTTTTTACAACCATCCGGAGCCCGAAAAACGTAGTTTTGCAATCCTGTCCGTTTCAGTTAGCAGACGAAATTATATTTATAAGTATTGTATCAAGGGGTCATCCATAAATGACGTCACACTCGTAGGGGGGAGGGGGGTCCGTAATTTTGTGACGATGTGTGATGAGGGGAGGGGGGGGGGGTTCAGATGTTGCGACGTCACAATTTTGCATTATAAAAAAGCAATGTTAGAAAACGAATTTTAGACGTTATTTCGCGTTTTAGATAACTTTTTTAATAAATTGTAATAGTTTAGACAAGATTTTGGAAAAATATCGATGTTTTAAAAAAGTTCAACTGCAATTTTGTAGGTTGAGGTATGACGTCATTTTAGGGGGGGAAGGGTCTGGCTTTTTGTGACGACGTGTGACGGAGGGGAGGGGGGGGGGGGGGTAAAAATCGTCAAAAAAAGCGTGACGTCATTTATGGATGACCCCCAAATGTGCAGTTTTCTCTTAACTTTGGAACGCTTTCCGGCAAGCGAAACAGGTACTTACTTCATTTCCGGTTTATCAAAAGCCTATATCTTGCGTACCGTTTAAAATTGGATGACGAAATTATACTTATGTTTTTCCGATTTCTTAAAAAACCTTCATAATTTGATACTTTTATAATCATATTTGATGATTTAATATCATACTCGCATAAAGCATAAAAACGAGGGTTTCACCATCCGAACCCTTATTGTTATTTAAGAATATACGAGAAAGTTAAATGGAGATCACTCCCGCTTTATTTTGTTTTGCCCCAGAAGCTGCCAGACAAGCATGGCCGACACGGCTAAGTTTAGCTTTAATTTTTAAAAATTTCAAGCTATAATGGTAAATTAATATAGACATCATTAGTAATAGAACAGTTGAAGTAACTTTTGTACGCGGTAAATGATTCACTTCAGAGTGAAACACGGAAGTTAAAACTCAGTAAATCAAAGTGATCAATGAACAAGACATTGAGATAGACATCACCTTTAATTATGGGGGACGCTAATCTTTTATAAGCGATGATGCCAACGGTAAAAAGGTAATGAGCCAATAAAGCCAAAATATTTATACCGAAATACTGATGCACATTATTCAACTAATGGAATTTAACAAGTAGGAGGGTCCGAGCCACTTCTCTACCTGAATGTTGTAAAGTAAAATAGTAATCTTTGAGCATCAGATTCAAGTGGACGAAGTCACGTGATAGGGCAAAGTATTAGAATGTCGTAGTTGCTTGTAACAAAGTATTAGAATGTCGTAGTTGCTTGTAACAAAGTATTAGAATGTCGTAGTTGCTTGTAACAAAGTATTAGAATGTCGTAGTTGCTTGTAACAAAGTATTAGAATGTCTTAGTTGCTTGTAACAAAGTATTAGAATGTCGTAGTTGCTTGTAACAAAGTATTAGAATGTCGTAGTTGCTTGTAACAAAGTATTAGAATGTCTTAGTTGCTTGTAACAAAGTATTAGAATGTCTTAGTTGCTTGTAACAAAGTATTAGAATGTTGTAGTTGCTTGTAAAAGCACGCAGTAACAAAAAAAAAATCCAGGGACAAGACCATATTGCTTATTTTCACTCAGCCGTTGAGTTTAATCGATCTATGTCTTTTTCTGTTGTTTGAGTTTGCAAATACTATCTATATATATAATTCTCTTCTGGGATCAGTTAGAAAACAAGCTGCAAGCGCCTTCTTGCAGTCCCCTCTCTTTCTCTCTATCACTATCACTACCACCCCCACCCCACCCCCACATTGTCTGGTGAGCTGTGGTCACGCTGTTTACATTTTACAATCATAGAGACGGGTTTGGTGACGGCTATTAGGGGCAGATAATTCAGTTTGAAACGATTTTAAACTTAGAGGAGGTAACTAAGGCTGCTTTCACGTGGGGGGTGGGGGGGGGGGGGGTGGGA